CTTTTTCCCCACCCATCCACCCACCCAGCCAGAATACACTCGCCCAGGCCGCCGCACTGCCTACACCGCCGCCAGCAACATTGTACGGCATAGCTCCGCCGTACGACCCATCGCCTCCGCCAAGACTATCCATAGAATAGCTACTGCTTCCGTTTCCGCCACCACCGTCGCCGTCGCCGTCGCCGCCGGGCGGTGTCGGTTGGATTCCTCCCCCAACTTCACTTCCCAACCCCCTCCCCCCTCCCCCGCCTGTCCCGTGGCTGTAGCTGTGTGTACGGGTGTGTGTGGCCAAATCTCGTTGTTCTTGCGTGACCTTCTCCGCCATCGCCTTCCTCGCGGCCTCGTGCATCATCCGTTGTTTGGCCCGCAGCAGGGACTGCAAGTACGGCCGGCTGAGCTCCTGCCGCAACTGGTCCTCGGACTTCTGAAGCAACTCTGGATGACGGGGGGTGAAGATTCGGGTGGGGGGAAAGATTGGCGGGGACGACGAGCCACGAGCGAGTGAAGGTGAATCCAAGGAGGGAGATGGGGGGGGAAAAGAGACCGTGGGGGGACATTGGGGAGATGTGGAGAGAGGGAAGGGCCGCGCGGCGGGTTGGCGGCCAGTGGCTGCACAGATAAAAGCTAGTTGAGTTGAGTAATGGATTTGGTGCCTCAGCGGTTGAATGCCCTTCCAGCCCTACCTACCCTTCTCTTTTTCCCGCCACTTCGCTGCAACCCCCTCCCCCCCCCGCCACACACACCCAACCCGACCCAACCCGGCACACACACACACACACACACCCGCTTCCAGCTCTCTCTGCGTCGTGAGCAGCCTGCTATCCACGGCCTTCTCCGTGACGTACGAGAAGTACCCCACGAAGGAGCCCGCAGCCGTCATGTAGGCTCGACCTCGGGGGTGACCCGGGTACCTGCGGGCGGGGGGGGGGGACGATATGGTGAGAGTCGGAACATTACCATTACATTTGTTACTATTTGCAAATCAGGAGCGCCACTAGTCCAGGTAACACAGCGCGGCTTAGTGTCCCTAAGATGGTGAGAAACAGGGCTAGGGTGATGGTGAACGATCAGAATGTATGTATGTCATGTGTCATGATTAGCAGAAAGGTATCCGGGATTACGGAGTCGATACAAACCTGCGCCTGCGAATGGTAGCTGCATCAACAAGCTTTTACGAGTTTATAAATAACAAAACCCTTTTAGACATCCCCTATTCGTGCGCCACTAGTCCATCGGTAGGATATTTGCCTTCCAAGCAAAAGAGCGGGGTTCGACTCCCCGGTGGCGCAGATGCACAATAACATCATGTTATGAATCTTTTTCGACAGAGACAAAGAACATTTCTTGGCGTGATGATGGACTGCTAAAATGAACTTTGCAATTGTCGACCGGCAGAGGAATCACCGTCGCGGCTGGTCTTCGGCGGATTTGACTGGATGCTGTTAGTAAACCTGGTGGTGGTGGTAGTGGTGGGTGGTGCCGACCACCCCAAGAGGTCCACCCCTATGACTTCACACACAAGTCGACCCACCCGGGTCATTACCCAATATAATGAATAGGATGGGGGTGAGGACGAGGGTGAGGATGCCCCCCCCCACCGGGGGGAAACACCGGGGAAGGCAGTCCAGGGGCTTAGCCAACATAGGGGCTAGTAGGGGACACACACACACACACATACACACACACACACACACGGGTTGAAGGGCAAGGAAGGCAAACGGACGGGTTCCAGAACTCACCACAGCAGCCCCAGCAGTCCGCCCGCCATCACTCCCGCCATCACTCGGTTCCACGGGTCATCAGAACCGGCCCGGAGCCGCCTCATGCCACCCTGGGGTGGGGTGGGGTGGGGGGGAGGGGGAGGGGGAGGGGGAGACGGCGGAGGAGGAGGGGGGACAGGTCAGGTCAAGACAGGCACAGGAATATCTTAGGGCTACAGGTGGGGGGAAAAAGCGGAATATTGAAGAGGGCCTAAAATTGGCCAAATGAAATAGTTCTGTAGCCTTTTGCAGGAGAGAGGGAGGGGGGGAGGAGAATACTGCTGTGGGTGCTCTCCGGACACCTGACATACATATGTGCGCAGAAATCTTTTAACCTCACCTCACCTCACCTCACCTCACCTCACCTCCCACCCCCTAGGGTCCACCCCCGGTTTACAGCCCCGAAAGCCGCACACTCAGGATTTGCCGTACCTCCACTCCGTCCATGAGCAGCATCACGCCGGCCAGCGCTGCCGTATCCCTGGCCACTTGATTGCCCATGTGCCGCCACCGGGTACGAGTAGCCCATTCCTCAGCGTACCATGCGGGAATCGAACCCTCGCCTTCCGGAGGAATCTATAAAAAAAACAGCGAAAGAGTAAATTTTGTCAGTACAACACGTCTACACAGCAAGCGCACAACAAAGTGCCGAAGCTGCCTAACCCATCTAATCCGACGTACAACCAACCCGTACATATACATACCATCGAGATCAAAATCCATTTAACTCCCTGCCGTAGACACTCCATCCTGTACCGCGATAAAATACGAAAAACATAACAACCAAAACAACATTACGGAAAAATAAACACCCCCCACACACACACGCACACTCACCTCACATATCCCCTCCTCCTTCCCTCCCTTCCCCTTCCCCCCATCCTCTCTCTATCTCTACCTCTCACTCGCCTCCAGTTTAGGCGGGTTTACCAGCGCCCGCATCAGCGCCACCAGTCCCCCGTTGAACACCAAACTGGCCCCCCTGGAGAGCTGTTGGCTCCACCAGGGGGGTGGGGCGTCGCTGATACCCAACTGTACTGCTAACAGCTGTTGTTGGTCTCGGAGCTGCTCTTGCTGCTGTTGTACATCGTGATCTTGTTGAAGTTGGAAAGAGGAGGAGGGGGATGAGGTTTCGGAGGCGGCGGCGCTCCCTGCAGCCAGGTCCTGTGGCCACCCAGACAAGCAGTAATAAGGCCGCTTCATCGTTTTGTTGATTTCCTAGGTGGTTAGTGGAACCTTTGTTTGTTTGTTTTTCCTGTGGTGTTCTGCCCATGCAGTGTGATAAACGCAGGATGCATGCATTCCGTACGACTTGTGTGGGGTACACGGTACGGGTTGCTAGGACGGGGAAAGGTTTTCCCCCGACGTGCCTTTTGTCGTACCTTCGTACGTGTTTGATTAGTAGTCATGCCGTGGTATGTATGTATGTATGTATGTACACATGTACGTCTATCTGTCTATCTATATGTGCGCGGTTGATGTCGGTGGCGTCAAGATGAACTGGGTACGTATACCAGCCCTAAGAATAGCTTCCACAGCCGCAGCTTAGCTTTGTGGTTCTTGTGGTCCACAGCCGTGTTGGTTTAGTTGTCCTATCGGCTGGAAGCTTCTATCCTTTCGCTTCTCCTCCTCCTTCTCCTGCATCATCACCATCTTTGTTCCTGCTTTTCTCCTTGTTCCTGCTTTTCTCCTTCCTTCTTTAACCTCTTTCAAGAATCATACTTTAGTCTGTAAGTCCTAAGTAGGCAGCAGCGACATGTTCACATAGAATCATAAACTACAGAATTATAAATCAGGAGGCACTCCATTACCCAGTGTTTTTAAAACTTTTTCACTGTTGGTAATTTTTTAGTGACCAAGTGGTTACTGTGGGGGTTTTCCTTGGTTACCACCTTACAAAAACTTTTCCCCAGCGAGTATCCTGAACAGGAGCCCCGAGAACCATGCATCCGAAGATCACTTGAAGAAATTCTAATGAACAAGCCGTCTGAGCAAGCTTTCATCAACTTTGACTCTATGCACGGCAACGTGTTCCCGAGCCGAGCTCACTGAACCATCACTGAACCCATCCAAGCGTCAAACAAATGTTTAGGTGGTCAATACTACCGGGGGTCTGTGGCCCAATTTCTTGGCGACCACCTGGTTACTGGCAGGTGACTCGAAACATTTCCTACTGACCACCTTCTGGAAGGGAAATATTTTCTCAGTAACCACTTGGTCACTAGTAACCACTTTTAATCAAAAACACTGCCATCCGCCGCTCCAAGTCGATCAACGCTCCTGTCATAGGAGACGTGTGCGGAGACGAAAGTAAAAAAAACACCAGCCAGTAAATCGGTGAAACAAAAACCGGGTAGCTCAATAACAACTCCAACCTGGGTTGAAGCGTTACGATCTCTAATATGATGTGATCCCCGGGCGGTTCCGAGCCGGAGGGTTGTGGAGGGTGCGCGGTGTTGGAAGTATCGACGGGTCGTCGTACTGCTGGCTCGAGAATGCGTCTGCTCAGAGACTACTTCGCAGCACGTTGGGATTTAAGTGGAGTGATGTGATGTCACGGCTGTCTAGGGATGTTTCGGGGGACCAAAAAACGAGCAACGTTTCGTGTGTCGTGCATCGTTCACATGCATGTGACACACAGCACGATGACGGTTTAAACTACCCTTACAACACGAGAGATACATCCTGGTGCACAAATGCTGCTTGATCTTAATAATAAAATCGTTTGAAAAGGGGCAGGTTGTTGTCTGCGCGTGGGAACTCTTCTGCTCGCGCTTCTGGGCCCCTCTTGATGGATGCATCAGTCTGGACAAACAACAACAACAACAATGACAACTTTAACTTGGACATAATGCTTGAAGCTGGGAGTTTTTGTAAAACTATACGCAGTCCCAAAACGGGAAAGGAGAGCAATAAGGAGAACACCGGGTTGCGAGTATCGTGCGGGCCGAGCGGATGGTCACGGAATTGAACAAGCCGCGAAGATTGCAGATTTGGGCTAGGTTCGAGCTGCCTTACCAAAACCACGGCCAATCAAGGGATCAACAACTCCTGTTAACGCCTGACGACTCCTGAGGACAGCTGTCGAGTAGCCATTTCCGAAACTGAGCGCACCTGCTGCTGCGATGCCGGAACGCCAGCGTATCCATCATCTCCCAGCGAAAGCTCCGTGGCCTTTGGCATCGGGACCCTCTACAAAAAGACAGATTTGAGCAGCAACGCGGTCGAGAGGAACTAGTGCTGTGGATCCCGCGGCCTTATTGCTAATTATGCACTCCAACCATTCGACTTGACGAAATTCAGGTTGTAATGCGTCGCTTCCGTTGCATAGGCTGTCGTCGACGAAAAGCCGTACTCTATGGACGATCTTTTCTGCTCTAACTGAAAAACTCACCTACATCACCCAAGATGTACATACAACTATCCTGCTTTCCATTAAATATGTCATTCATAGGCAGTCCGTGAGAGCAGCTACCGCCTTTCGACGGAAGGTTCAGTTCGTTAGGCGCATTCGGTGGACCGTGCCCATCAAACAATATTGATTGCAGCGTCTGCATTAGCATAACCCATATAGGATGCCTCCTGGCCGCTGCATTGCCCTGGGCAGTCCTCGGCGGCTGTCACCGTTCAGCACGGCATCCAGCAATTTCCCTTGTGGCAACTTTTCAGCGGGGACATCTTGCGGCTGCCCTGCACGTGACCCTATCTCAGCGTTAGCACCAGGTGACCCACCGCCACGTCCCGAACTTATCGCCTGGTCCTGTCCTTTTAAACGTATCGCATCTGCGTTTGCCGACTGTTGTCGCCTGGGCTCCCGAACCACAGAAATCCAGGGGGCGTTCGCAAACCCGAATCCCAAAGCCATAAAATCCTTCACACGCGCCAAACTCTTTTCCTTTTCTTACATGCTCCCGTACACAGCCGCTAGCAGGACCCCCTCTGGTTGCCGCTCCTCCGTCGGACTTTCCTTTGGACTTCTCTCCTCCTCTTGCATTCTCTTACCGGCTTACCGGTTTAAGGTCTCCCACCAAGATGCACCAAGAGCCACGTCCATCACGATTAGCACCAATCTCTGCCGCAGCTGCAGCCGCAGCCGCACCTGCAGCCGTAGCACTGCGCGCACAACAAGGAATCGGGGCATTTCCTCCTACGGCTCAACCTCCCTTTCATTTTACGGCTGTGGCAGCGGCTGTAGCAGCGGTAGCACGAGGGTTTCCAGGGCCCCAGCAACTTCTTGGCCCCCCACGGGAGGAGGCGCTGCGGCAGTAGCAGTCGTACGGAATGCAGCAGCAGGAGCCGCGGCCTGTAGCTCCGCCGCCTCCAACGTCATGGCGACCAAAGATTCTCTTCAGGATTCTCCCTCCCGTCTCGATGCATGTTGCCATCATGGCAGCAGTAGCAGTAGCAGTAGCAACGTCGCAAGTGCCAGTGGTAGCCATACAGATACATGCAGTTGTTTTAATGGGAGCAGTAGCAATGGAGACAGTCCCAGTGCCAGCGGCGGAGTAGCAGCAGTAGCAGCAACAGGGCTGATGGCGGCTGCGGCAGCTGCTACTGCGGGGGGTCTCGGTCGGGCCTTATGGGTGGAGGATACGGGATTCGACAACTGGCTGACTCCGCTACGACGTCCTGGTGGGTTTGTGTGCACTGAGCGGCTGCCTATCTGCCTGCCTGTATGTATGTCTGTTCGTAAGCCTATTCGCCCTGGCTACATACCCGTCCTTCTGTGTGTCTGCATGCCTGACTGTCCTTAGCATCCCCCGGCATTAAATGAAAGCAGTCGTTCATGTGCATGTGCTGTGCAGCTGTCCGTATATAACTGTCGTACAACAACCCTTACTTTCATATGAGCTGCTTCGTGGAGTTGATGTGTCTGATGGGGCCGTACGAGATGTACGGCTAACAACGGGGTCGATTTCCATATTTGTCTTTATGCCCCAACCGCCAACCGCTACCTCACTATGTGCCGCGGCAACCACACCATTGACCAACCGCCAACCGCAACAACCACCTACTAACCGCAGGCTCGGTAGTTGCTCTCGGCAAGTTCGATGCGCTTCACCGAGGCCATTGCGCGCTGGCAGTTGCCGCAGCAGCGCTTGCCAGGGAGATTAGTGCCGACTCGGCCGGCGGTGCCGACGTCAGTACGGACGCTGCCGCTGCCACGTCTGCCGCCGCTGCCACCGCTACCGCTGGAGATGCCGTACTTCTGTCCTTCAGCGGCATGGCGGCCGTGCTGGGGTGGCCGCAACGGCTACCGTTGACGGCACCACAGGATCGCTCCCGCGTGCTGGCTAGCTGGGCGGCAATCTGTAGCAGCACCTCCAACGGTACCGATAACGGTAACAACTGTAACGGTGACGGGGCTCGTCACTCACAGCATCAGCAGCAGCAGCAGCAGGCGGCGGTTACGCAGCCGCCAACAGAGGGATGCAGTACGCGATCCCTCGGGGCGCCGCCGCCGCTGCCGCGGCTTCGCACGTTGCCGTTTTCGCTGATTCGCGCCATGTCTCCGGAACAGTTTGTTGCCTTGCTCGCTCGCGATCTGGGAGCTGCGGGCGTGGTGGCAGGCCGCAACTACCGTTTCGGTAAGTCGGTTTGTCAATCGCTTCAACAATGAACTAACGAACTTCTGCAACTAGCCTTCTTACTTATCCTCCCCTACCTTCATCACACTTGAACAGAAACGTTCTCGCATGTGTAAAAACACGCGATGCCTGCCGAGCTGCCGCACAATAGCAGAAAGCATAGCACAAACAGTATTGAAGGCAGCTAAGTGGGGGTTACTCCCTTTCATGGCCGTTGTCGTTTACTCATTGTCACCTTTTTGCTGTACACCGTTGTTCTGTGCCGTTATAATGTTTGCCCTTGTGTGTGGAGGGCCTTAAGTGAGTTTATTGCCCGTGCACTGGTATTCGTACTTCCTGCCATGACGCACGCTTAACATAGCTGATTCCTGCCGTCCACACCGGCAGGATATAAGGCATCTGGCGATGCTGACACACTTGTACGGCTGGGACGACAGTACGGTATGCGTGTCGAGATTGTGGACCTGGTGACGCTCCCCGATCAGGCTACGGCAACCGCCAACGGTCGTCGGTTGGGCAACGACATCACTACAGCGACCGCTACAGCCACGAGTATCAACGCGAGCTTAAGCAGTAGCTGCAGTAGTAGTAACACTAGCAGTAGCACTACAACCTGCAGCAGCAGTGGACCCCCGCTGCTGTCCAGTGTGCCGTACTTGTCATCATCAATCTCAGGGATGACAGCGAACGACCACCGGACGGTATCAGCTGCGTCATCAGCTGCGGCGGCGTCCACGTCCTTATCGATGACGCCACTCGCATCTAGCGGCGTTATCAACGGCCCACATGGAGGCGGGGGCAGCAGTAGCAGTAATAACAGTAGTAGCAGTAGCAGTAGTAGCAGTAGCAGTAGTGGTAACATGGAGGGAGGTTCTCTTCATCGGCAGCTAAGCGATGGAGATGGAAGCGGCGGCGGCGGCGGCCATGACAGCGACAGTTGTGGCGGTGGTAATGACAGTTGCGGCGGAAGAGGAGGAGGAGGAGCAGTGGCTGCACTCGAGGACAGCAGTAGCTGTTCTCGTGTATCATCTTCACGGGTGAGAAAAAAGGTTCAGTTGGGTTGGGGAGGGGATCATATGCAAGAGGAAACAATGAATGAAGTACCGGAAGGCGTCCAAAGTAGACCTAACTGCCCCAAGTGAGTGAGTGAGTCCTAACAGATCATGAAGTCACTGACCCAAGGTTCGTTCCGGAAGTGAAGTCCCATAACATTACCGACATATTTTTGTGTGGTCGTCGTGTCTGGTCTCGTGATGTTGTCCTCGAGGCCCTTGATGTCCAGCGCAGTGTAGATGAGCTGTAGCTACTGAATGGATATCCTAGTAGTCGTAGTCGTAGTCGTCGTAGTAGTAGTACTAGATCTCGTGAAAAGGGTAAACTGGTCAGTCAGTTCTGGCTAACTTCGTCACTGACTTGGGGGAAGGGGGGAACAAGGAAGTAGGTTTGGTGACAGAGAAGCCGCACAACTTCAGCAGATTTCTTATATTTGCGTGAAGTTAAGGAGTTGGGGTGGAAGGGTTGTCACAAGGTTAGTGAGGAGCCCCTTACAACACCACACCACACCAACACTGGCTAACATACTTGCGTGACCCAGATCAACCCCAAGCCGTGCCGATATATCCTTTTGTACGACCTTTGTAAGAGTGTACTGCCTCGCTGTCGTACCAACCAACTGCTAACCATCAATGGTCATCATCTCTATTCCACCAACCGTCATGGTACAGGGCCCTGATTTGGGTTTTGGGACAGTGGACTTCTTTCTGTCTCCACCTTGACCGTTGCCGTTGATTAACCGTTGCTGTTAATTAGCCGTTGCCGTTGACCCACTTGAAACTCCCATTTGAGACCCCTCTCTCCGGCTTAACCCCCTTACCCCAACCCTTCCCCTGGAGCGCCAGCTCCGCCGGTACTGCTGCTGCTGCTGCTGCTGCTTGCTCCTGGCTTCAATGTAATAGCTAGTATACCTAGCATGCGTATCACAATCAGGCGTGATTCTCTCTCAATCTCTACCAGCTCGATCTACCGGCTCGCCTAGGTTGTTACCTAGCTTCGCCATGATATCATATAATCTACCTGTGTACGCGTATAGCTTTGCGAAATTCGCGAATTACTTATTTGATCCATCTCTCCGCCCCTCTCCTCCATCACACTGAAGTAAGCAATCGCTCCGTAGAGCTTGAGTCCGTCTGGGTCCAGGATCATGACAAGTCGTTTCCAGAGTTCTGAGCTGTTTTGAAGACCTGGCTTTGGGTTTATTTTGGGTTCTTCCTTTCACACATACCCCTATTGGCCACCTGCCTTCATTCCGTAGATCCGGTCGCTTTTGGAGCGCGGGCGAGTGGAATGTGTGGAGCAGCTGCTGGGTCGGAAGTACCGCCTCGTGTGCGACCTCGCAAGGGCGACCACCGCTATGAAATTGGACGACAGCAGCAGGAGCAGTAACAGCAGCGGTATCGGCGGCAGCGGAGTTGGTCGCGAAAGCTGTGACGGGTCAAAAGGGCGGTTGGTGGTGCCTTGGTCAACTTATCAGAACCAGCCGCCCGCGAATGGGCAGTATTGGGCCCTGGTGCAGCTGGTTCGTGGTGCGGAGGTTCCCGTAGATGCGTCTAGCGAGATCGTTGTCGGTGGATTTGCGGTTGGTGTGGGCGGTGATGGTGATGTGAGGGAGGACGGGCAGATGTCGAGCGGGGCGTGCACGATGGTACTGCTTAGCGATATGGGCATCGAGGTTGAGCTCGGGGAGAAGGCAATTAAATGCATAGCGGAGTCTGGTGAAGGCAGACTGCTGCTTGTAGATTTCGATGCTTGTGGTTGAACGGTGTGCGCGACCTCGACAAAATTATCCTTGGCGTTTGGGTGCCTTCAAACTTGACAGGTGCATTCCTCTAAAATGAGATATGGAAGAAATGATGTGATGAGAAACGGGACAGTGAGTCAGGCTAGGTCGCTTGCGTACGATGAAATGTTGGTGTCCATAGTCGCTTACCACCCGGTGCATACGACGTTGAGATATTATGTCGCGTGTATATAAAAAAGGTGTGACCAACTGACCTCGCTAACTATTTTGGGCTAACTGCAGTTCCTGTCGGAACGTTGACTGCTTCCAAGACGTTCGTCTGTCCTTTGAACTTTGTCGCAAACTGTATTTTCCCGACATCTATTCCTAAATTATAACATCATATTGTTGCGGGTAAATCTACGGGGCGGTTACTGGTAGTCGTCACCCAGCTCAGGAAGCAGTCTAAGGTATTTGCGTCTGAAACGGCACAGAAAGCAACAAGTACTGTATTTTTCATGCTCTTCTAAGATGCAAGCGTCAGGGTCGCGTCCCGGCGTTGTATCTGAAGGCAGCGTGCTTAAGGCAGGCCAGGTTCCCAAGGGCCCTGCTGCCAAGTAGCCCAAGTCCCGAACTCAACAACATTTCATGCTTATATCAACATCTTCAATTCACTTAATAGCCCCGTCCCGATCGGCAGAGGAGCAGCGCACGGCAGCTTGTTAATTCCGCCACAGCAGTAGCATCGGGACCCGGAGCTGTTCCTTCCGTCACCGCCAGCATGGCGCACATGAGCTCGCGTAACTTGGCGCCTGGAGTGAGGGAGGACCCCCGGCTCGTGCGGGAATCGGTGGAGAGCAGCCGCGCAAGCATGACCTTGAGTACGTGTGTGCCGGACCGCGGGCACCTGCATGTACCTCACGTCCTCAGGATGTAGCCAAAAAAGGGGGAGTACATCAGTCGCTGGGCATAAATGGGCCACATGGTAACATAGGTGCCTGCCGGGGGGGCCCACATGTGGGGCACATGACGCTCTACTGCGGCAGAGACACTGTTGGATCTGTCACGAAATAAACTGTTGTTGTCTTTGTGTCGCGTGGTCGGAGTACGTTGACCATCCCCGAATCCAACCCAGCTCTAGCTAACCCAACTCTAGCCACGCAATGGTTGTTCTTACGGTTTGAGAAGCGTCGGGCGGCAGGTCGGAAGTTATGCTGGGTGAAGGGCCTCGCGCACATAAGACACAGATTGGCGGGGAATTTATTCCCCTTACGTCCATTAAGAGTTCGTTAAAAGTCCGGTAGTTCGGTTCTCTCTGTAAAAGGAAATCCGACTCTTCTCCGACAATTCCGTTTCTGCCAATCTGTGTGAATTCGCCGCTTTCCCGCACGACCCCGAACTGTACACGCAGACCGTGCATCCGCAACACACGTCCGTACTTCATCGTCATCCTCCATAGCCAGCTACACGCCCCCGGGCAGCGCCGGCGGCGCTAGCGTCGCCGGCGGCAGCATGTACGGCAGCGGTGGCCGTACCGTCGAGTGGCTGTTGGAGCCCATCTCCTGGGAGGGTCGTACATACCTGTTGGACCGCCGTACAGGTGCCGTATATGCTGACACTCCCGAGGACCGTTATCCGGAGCTGGTGGGCAGGTGGCAGGACAACCGTTTGGTTGCCCGCTCTCGTAATGTGGTGGTGGACTTGTTCACCAACCTGGACAAGTATCTGCGAGATAACAAGGTGAACGGGACGAAGGGGAGAGAAGGGAAGGAAGGGGGAGAGAAGGGGGAGAGAAGGGAAGGGGGAGGGAAGGGATGAGGGAGACGGGGAAGGACGGGAAGGGGGACGGGGAAGGATTATCTGTCCGTCTGGGTCCTCTTCTTTATGCACCAAGTTGCATCCCGTGTGTCCTTACGTCTCCTTACCATGTACTCTCGCGCCATTCTATAGTGGGCGTGTGCGTGCAGCCACGTCCAGCCACGTCCTGTACGCATGCAACTCAGTCTCCTGACACGCCTCCAAAAACGCCCCGGACCCAAAACCCAAATCCCGGGTCAAACCTAAGGCCACCCCACCTATCAGGCCACCCGTAATGATCCCTTCCTACTCCATACCCTCCCTGCCCACCCGACCGCACCTTGCCTGCCTATATCCACCTATGGTCCGTTTGGACTCCTGGCCCTCTAAAGCGCCTGGCCCTTGAACCCTGAGTTGACTTCTCTTTCTCCGTTTCTCCGCCTCCGCCGCCTTCCTCACGTCCTATCCTGCAAACCCTGTCTTCCCCCGTCCTCTTATCCCCCGCCCCCCGCCGGACACCCGGACGCCTCGGATCAGGTCAAATTCCGCGACCTGTTCGACAGCTTCGACACCGACCGCAGCGGCACGCTCGAGGTGGGCGAGCTGGCTCAGCTGGTGTCGCAGCTGGTTCCCGGAGTGAGCGCCGCGGAGGTGCGCTACGTCATGGCCATGTTGGACAGCTCCGGAGACGGACACGTCACGCAGCAGGAGTTCCTGGCGGCGGCGAAGGCGTGTCTGGATGCGGCCAAGAGGCTGGCGGCGGAGAGGGCGGCGGGCGGAACGGGGACGGCAAGCCCGGATGTGCAGGTGAGGGGGAAAGACGGGACGGGGGGCCCCCGGGGGGTTCAAGTAAGGGGACCCCGTTCCTTTGCCTGGGCCGTGTTAACTGGCGTGAAGAGAGCACTGTAAGGGAGGCTGTGGGAAGGCAACGCGGTTGCCTGCCTGTCTGTCAGCTCCCCGTTAGCTGGCGGTCTGGCCAAGGGGGCCCGGGGCTCCCCTCTGTCGCCTGTCGCCCACAGCCTTCGAAACTCCTAAGCTCACCCCTCCAGCTCGCGCGCCTGTCATTGATGATGCATGGAGCTGAAAGAGTCGAATCACTCAATTGCCGAACATCGGCCTCAGCTTCTTCCAGCTTCTTCCCATCTCGCTCTATTTTCCCATGTAAACCGTGTAACCCAAAGAGGGGCCTCCGACTTACCCTTGCTCCTCGCCTCTCCTAAAACCCCCTCCTCCCCCTCGGCAGCAGCTTCACTCGTTCGTGGTTCGTCGTTTTCCCCCACTCCGCAACCCCTTCAAATCTCCGGTCTTTGTTTCTTCTTGCAAGTGATTCCCCCTTTCCACTCGTCTGTGGTTCGTCTTACCCCCTTTCCCCCTCTTTCCCCCGCATCCTCCCAGTCCGTCCTGCGCCGTGTGACGGACTACCTTCGCGCCAACCGCGAGACCGCCTCCGCCGTCTTCTCCCGCTTCGATGTGAACGGAGACGGCCGGCTGGAGCCCACAGAGCTGGCCAGGTTCTTCGCACAAGCAGTACCCGGCCTGGGGGAGGACCAGATAAGATACCTGCTGGCGCACATGTACGAGTAAGTGTACGGAGCTGTACGAGTCGTACTTTTCGCTTTCTTACGGCGTACGGAACCGCATCTCATGCCCCCTGCCTCCGGTGTACAGGCTGGACGCTAACGGTGACGGCATGGTGAGCTATCCGGAGCTCCTTCACGCGCTGAGGGCCGCGGAGGTGCACAGAGCAACAGGGGCAGCAGGAGTTGGAGGAGGCCAGGCGCAGCTCAACAACAGCCTGACACCTCGCGCATCATCGTCGTTAAGCCGCGGTTCGACGCCCTCCCTCCGTCGCATCAGCACGGGGTCGGGAGTCGTCGAGTGGCTGTTGGAGCCCATCTCCTGGGAGGGTCGTACATACCTGTTGGACCGCCGTACAGGTGCCGTATATGCTGACACTCCCGAGGACCGTTATCCGGAGCTGGTGGGCAGGTGGCAGGACAACCGTTTGGTTGCCCGCTCTCGTAATGTGGTGGTGGACTTGTTCACCAACCTGGACAAGTATCTGCGAGATAACAAGGTGAACGGGACGAAGGGGAGAGAAGGGAAGGAAGGGAAGGAAGGGGGAGAGAAGGGGGAGAGAAGGGATGGGATGGGGAAGACGGGGAAGGGGGACGGGGAAGGATTACCTGTCCGTCTGGGTCCTATTCCTCCACAATTTAATTGAGGAAAGGGGAGAGGGGTAAGGAGGGAAGGTGGTGGGAAGGAGGTGGGGAGAGGGGCAAGGAGGGAAGGTGGTGGGAAGGAGGTGGGGAGAGGGGCAAGGGGGAGGCATCTGGGGCAGGGGGCCACAAGCACGAGCAAAAGGGACACAGTGAACTGCGCTTGGAACGCCCCCACCCCAGTACCCCAGTCCTCCCATACCCCCCTTCCCTCCCCTCCCTCTTGCTGTTCCTCCCCCCCCTCCCCACTCTCCTTACCGCGAGTACCGTCGTTGCCTTGGATCCCGGCACTGTAACGCTTTGGACGGACTTAGGGTTTTTAGGGTTTTAGAAACGTCGTTGACAGTTGTATTGTCTTCTTGAATGCATCTGGTTTCCTATAGCCCTCGTTGAGTCTCGCCTTCCTCAGTTCTCCCTCAGTTCACATTGCACGTACTTCCCGCACGATCACGCCGCCCCCCTCGCAAGCCCTCTCCCTCTCATGGCCCGTGGCACCCGCCATCATTTACCCATTCGTCCCTCCCTTTCCCTTCCCCCGCCCCCCGTCGGGAAACCCGGACCCACAGGTCAAATTCCGCGACCTGTTCGACAGCTTCGACACCGACCGCAGCGGCACGCTCGAGGTGGGCGAGCTGGCTCAGCTGGTGTCGCAGCTGGTTCCCGGAGTGAGCGCCGCGGAGGTGCGCTACGTCATGGCCATGTTGGACAGCTCCGGAGACGGACACGTCACGCAGCAGGAGTTCCTGGCGGCGGCGAAGGCGTGTCTGGATGCGGCCAAGAGGCTGGCGGCGGAGAGGGCGGCGGGCGGAACGGGGACGGCAAGCCCGGATGTGCAGGTGAGGGGGAAAGACGGGACGGGGGAGCATGCGGTGTATGCAGAATTCGAATAAACACGGGCAGGAGCGTGAGTGGGTGTTGAGGGGGGAAAAGACGAACCACGAGCAAGTGAAGGAAGGCTGATGCGCCAGAAGTAAAGAAAGGTTAACTAACCAGTCGGCGGTTGTGAAGTAGCTATAATAAAACGCTCAAGACATGTCTTTCGACCGATACAGGGGTCGAACCTGCGACCTGAGCCTTAGGAAAGCTCCGCTCTATCCACTGAGCTAATCGGCCCATTTGTGAGCGAGAGCACATAACAAAACTTTAAGGACGCAAAAGGTGTCGTACTAGATGACGGACTTGAGAAGTGATGACGCATTGGACGCAAAGAAGCTAGAAATGGAAAATTGGGGTGGAAAGAACGCATAAGAAAGGCCACTGGGAGGAGAGGCAGTTGGTAGTTAAAAAAGTGTGTGTGTGTGTGTGTGCAGGCGCAGGGGCCACATGTGGCTCCCGCCAACCCGCGCGCACTAGGAGCATGTGCATGCAGCCCCGTAGTGCCTAAGACGTGGGGAAGGAATTTATTTTGCAATAGGGGCGAAGACGAGGATTTGCGCAGAAGGGTAGGGAGCAGGTTGCGAATGTGAGAAAGGCGGGGTTAAAGGTTGTGGCGAGAAAGTTGGGTTGTGGCAGGGGGTCCATGTACGGCAAAAGCCGTGGCCGCAAAGGAGCTCTTTGGAAAAGAAGGTGCTCATGTGTGTGTGTGTGTTAATAGAATGAGCCCCCTCTTTTCCTCTTCCGTTCAACACCCCCCTTTCCCCCGCATCCTCCCAGTCCGTCCTGCGCCGTGTGACGGACTACCTTCGCGCCAACCGCGAGACCGCCTCCGCCGTCTTCTCCCGCTTCGATGTGAACGGAGACGGCCGGCTGGAGCCCACAGAGCTGGCCAGGTTCTTCGCACAAGCAGTACCCGGCCTGGGGGAGGACCAGATAAGATACCTGCTGGCGCACATGTACGAGTAAGTGTACGGAGCCGTACGGGTCGTACTTTTCGCTTTCTTACGGCGCACGGAACCGCATCTCATGCCCCCTGCCTCCGGTGTACAGACTGGACGCTAACGGTGACGGCATGGTGAGCTATCCGGAGCTCCTTCACGCGCTGAGGGCCGCGGAGGTGCACAGAGCAACAGGGGCAGGAGTTGGAGGAGGCCAGGTGCAGCTCAACAACAGCCTGACGAGCCGACCACCCCTCTCCCGGCAAGCCTCTCTTGCCGCCATGCCAGGTTGGCCTTTGGTAGTTGGTTGGTTGGTTCGTGGTGGTTGGTTCATTAATGGTGGTTGGAGAGCGGACGAGCGTTGAACCGCCCCAAGTTTTGACCGCCGCAGGGTGTGCCAGATGCCCCCCCCCCTAGGGGTTACTGAGTACTGTTGGGGGGCTGTGGGTGTATTGTTGTGTTATGGAGGTCCTGGCTTCCTCAGAGAGCCTGCTTGCCTCAACCCCCCTTCACTTCAATTCACAAAACACATCTACATACACACCTACACACAAATCTACACACACCCTTACATACACACCTACACACACCTACAAACAATCCTACATACACACGGACACACACGCAGGTGGCGCGGAGTGGGTCCTGGAGGACGTGTACGACCCAAACACAGGTCGTGCCCTGAAGCTCGACCCCGCCACGGGACTTGTGTACCAGGAGGTGGTTCCTGGGGAGTGGCCGCAGGTGGTGGGGGTGCAGGACGGGGGGGGCGTGCTGCGGATGATGCAGCGGCGAGATGACGGAGGGCTTTTCGCCGCGCTGGACGGCTATCTGCGAACTAATAAGTGCGTGGGTAAGGGGGAGGGAATGAGGTGGGGTATAGGGGGAGGGAGAAGAAGAAGAAGAAGGATGAGTTAAGGGGGGGGGTTGAGTTAACAAGGGGGAAGCATAACTTTAAAACCTAGACGTCAACTAAATTGACGGGGTGAATTTGGTCATATCGTACTCCCATACATCACACTCCCTCCTCCATGTCGTACATGCCCCATCTTATCCCGACACTCTCCTCCCGTCCTCCTTCCCCCCCCTCTCTCACACAAACATACACTCGCATTTCCTTGGCATTATGTTACCCTATCTTGCGTTTTCATCCCCCGCCCCCCCCCGCCCCCCCCTCCACACACACACACACCCCGAGACAAACACAGCACACACATACACACACACATCACGGCTCAGATCATAACCAACGCCACACGCACACATACACACATACATACACACATACACATACACACATGCGGAAACCCGCCCTCTTCAGGGTCAAGTTTCGGGACATGTTCGACCACTTCGACGCGGACCGCTCAGGCCACCTGGATATGGGGGAGCTGAGGCAGCTGGTGGCCACCATCCTGCCGGGGTTCAGCGAGGGGCAGCTGCACTACTTCCAGGTGGGGTGCAGGGGGACGTGTGTGTGTGTGTGTGTAACACCGTGTACATATACGGATACTGCATACGGCATAGATTGCGTGCGTGCAAGTCGAGACGCAGTAAGAGAGGAAAAAACGGCTTCTCGGGCCACCTGCGGGCCGCATTGACTCTGTGTGTGTGTGTGTGTGTGTGTGCGCGCGCTTGGTGTTTGGATGTGTGCGCTTGGATGTATGTGTATGTATGTGTATGTGTGTGTGTGTGTTTA